AAATAAGAACGGAGGGAGTAATATTTTTTTGGTTTTTCATAATAAAAAAAAACTTATCTTTCGGTTACATATGAAAATGTTTAAAGCAATTTAATATGAAAAAAGGACAAAATTGATTATGTATGTTTGATAATCACTACTTTGATTTTAGCACGAAAATAACTCACTAAGAATGTTTACTGCACACAAGTGAAACAAGGTATGAACCATATGATATTGACACACAAGTAAAAATTGTCATAACTTGTACAGTGCTACATAATTATTTGTGAGAATACCAAAGGAGTGATGAAATATTTATGATTTATGAGCATGAAAATATAGTTGCGAATGATATTGACCAACAAATGGCTCAAAGTAACAATGTTGGTTCGACTTCTCGGTCATATGATCGAGAAATGCAAGTTCAACGTGAGATGATTGTCCGTACTACATGGAATGATTATATTAAAGCATAGTACACTACAATTTATGTTCAATTTTTTTTTTATTGAATTCAAGTTTGATGAAACAGTTAATTAAGTGGAAAATAAATAGCTTTGTAATAATTTATTATGCGATTTTATAAACTTTGGTTTATTTGATAAGATTGAATAAACAATTAAGGATATTTTAATAGTTTTACAACTTATGAGATTCGTATGTTTATGAGAAATTATACAACACAGAAATTTCATATCGCATGACCAAACAAAACTTCAACTTCATCTCATAATATTATATCATGATTTCATATCGTATGATCAAACGGGCCGTTGTTTGAAAAGCCTTCAAGCCAAAATTACATCTAAAGCCACCAAGTAATAATAATAATTATTATTAAGAATGCATTATTTACTAGGTCTAGTTTACCATAGAGTGATTAGTCCATTCAGAATAAAAAAGCAAAATATGTTTATATAAAAACTCAAAAAACATAATTATATCTGATTAAAAATTAAGAACGAAGGTGGATTTTGTTCTAACAAAAATGTTGTTTTAAAAATAAAAAATAAAAAAGTAGTTTTTCAAATGTTTGTTCATCTATTGGGCCTTGGTCCAAGTAAAATGAGGTTAGTAGTAGATTCATCAACCCAACTTGAGTCCAGTAGCTCAAATATACTTTTAGGCCCATACCCAGCTATGTGGAGGAGGACATCAACACAAGTCACAAAGTAAAGGTCCACTCTTGGGAAAATGTTTTTCAATTTTTTCTGCCGAATATCTATCACCTCTTGCCAAGAATAGTATAATAGTATCAACCAAGGTTAGAAATAGATGAGAAGAAATCGTCTAGTGTTTTATCTCTACTAGAACTTAGACATGAGACCTCAGAGTGTTCAAACAATTTTATTGACCACTAGATCACATCCTTCAATGTAGTTGGTCACAATTTTTGGAGAACATATTTTTTCTAAAGAAAACAAGGCTTTTTTTAAATGGTAAAAAATGATTTTCTAGTCAAAGTAAAAAAAAAAAAAGAGTTTATGAATGACAGACGACAGTCCACACTGATTGTGTCAACTTCATCTTCCAACACACCTCATCTTTGTTGCTACTCAAAAATCAAAATTGCTAAGTAATAAATATATTCAAGGGAAACTAGTTTTTCATTTTCTCTCTAGAAGTTAACAACAAAATATCGTCACTTGTCTATACTTTTAAATTTAATATTTTTCTTGTTTATTCCAAAATTATTAGTACAAAAAATGTCACTTTACTAGTCAAAGCTTCCTATCAATCTCATATAGATGAATTTTCAAATCTTCTACATGGCGGCTTCCATTTTGGAACATTACACATTACTAATTATAACTAATCCTATTATAATAGTCTTAACTAATTTATCACGTGAAATTTTACTATTTTTATCTCCATCTTCATTTTCATTCGTGTATTATTATATTTAGAACCGGAATCAAGATTTTTAATTTTTAATTTTTGATTTTTTTTCTTTTGCTAATTAGATTTTGAATAGATTACCAATACATATAAAATAAAATTTTAATTAAAATTACAATTACAATATTTGAACTAAAGTTACTGGCTTTAATCAAATCCGTAAATTAAAGGCTAGCTCCTTCCGGGATGGTATGTTTTTTAATTTATTTTTCTACTTTATCTATTCTTCACGTTGTCTTAAAATACCATTCATGAAACCCAATCATCTTTAAATTTATATTATTGTGGAGTTTAGAATATACTAAATGTTAGAGGAACAATTGATTTTTCCATTGAATATTGGAAACTTTATTTTATGAATTTTTGTGACTTAATGGAGTAATTAGGCGGGTGATAATTATTTAATTTTGACTAATCGAATCATCTGAAACGCCATACGGCCGCACACTTGGACTGTAAATCAACAATAAATTACTCAAACATTAAAGTCCTGTTTGAAATTATTGTTTATTACTACCATTAATATTAATAAAATTTTCGAGGTCAATTTTTAGGCATGTTATATAGTTTGTATTAAAAACATGGGAAAAACTTTGTTGCTCCTGCTGGCAATTTTATTCAGAGGTTTTTAGTCAAAGTGTTGAAATTAAAATCACAAATGACCGAATGAAGTATTTGGTTAAATAATAACAAAAATTTATTCATATCGGATCAAATGTTTACATCAAATAAATAGATATCTATGATATTTGATATTTCATAAAGGAATCGAATTTGTCATTTCATAAAGGAAATCTTTACTTCAATAGCTATTTATAGATTTATTTATTTATTAAATTGTCGAATTATCTTATGTTTCTATTCTAATCACATTATGTAAAACTTATCCCCACCTTTAAAGTACAGTGGCTCTTAGATACTCTCTTTATTTTTTTTTTTTTTTCCGTCTTACTCTCATTTTAATTTCATTTAAAATAAAATGTTTATTTTTTTTGGCAATATTTAGCACATTAACTTTTCACATAATATTTCTAAGATCATAAGCTTAAATATTATTTTGATACATTCTACATATCTTTAACTTCAGTTATAAAATTTAATTTTTTTTTAAAAAAAATTCGTATCAAATTAAACGATTAATTTAAAACGGTGGAAGTATAATTTACCTAACCCTTAACGTTGGTAGGTTGGTCCCATTAATTTAAAACTTATAGCGTAGTTGGTGGGCGCCCATCGTTTTTAAGTTTGGAACCGTTCGGCGCTAAGGTGGAAATTCACAACTACGGACCACAGTATTTGTGTTTAATAAAAAAAATATTATTTTTTCAATTTTCATTAATTAATTTCCTTTTCTAAAATTAATTCGCGCAAAAGAAATTAATTAATTAAATTCTTGAAATTTAATTTTCGAACAAAAAGTCATCTCTTTTTACCGAAAGTTACCTCCCTTCCTATTTTTCTGAGGCTTCACCTCATTTGAGATATTGAAAACGAAATCTTATTTTTACTAAAAGTAGAAAGAATTATTATTTTTCTTCTTCTTTTCTTTGCATAAGTTTTTCAAGCAAAAAACAATAAGTGTTGTGTGATTTATTTTGTTTGTTGAGTTCATTGAAGTAATGCAATTTTTATTGTCATTATTGATGAATATTGTTTCTTTTTATTTTGGAAGGAATTAATCCAAACTTTGAGCTAATATGAGTGATTTTTTATTTTTTTTAAAAAGTATGACTGAATTAAATTTTTTAAGAAAATTAATTTTTTTTGTGGACTTTAAATGATATTTTTCGTTCCATTATTTTCGTTTCTGTTTATATTTTGATTGCAGAAATAACATAATACTTCAGCATATGTAAAATAGTCAAACAATAATAAACCGTTAAATAAAAGAAAGGATAAAAAGATACAAGTTGCAAATATAGTCAGTTTTTTTTCCCTTCAAACTTTACTATATTTATTTTTATTTCATTTCACAAAATATCTAATTTTGACGTAAGATACCATTTTCCTTACCTAATTCAACAATTTAAGACACCAACCAATTCAATCATGTGAACTGTATTCCATAATTTCAAGCTACTCAATAGGAACATCTGAAAATTGAGCTAAAATTGATGAGAACGCTGAATCATTAGGTAGACTTAATTGGACATAACGAGAACAATTCAACCAACAAACGTTACGATAGACAGAGTAGTAAGTGCTTCTTCATTTTTAACTAGAAATTTTGAGTTTGAATTTTCATGTGTACGAAGTCTTCTTTGTTAGAGAACGTTTTACCTCCAATATGAAACTTTTCTACGTATATCTAAATTTAATCAGACTCCATTGCTCTAATATGAATATTGGACATTGGATATGGTGGAATGGTAAGTACTCCTCCATTCTTAACTAAAGATCTCGAATTTAAGTGTTCATATGTACGAAGTCGCCTGTGTTAGGAGCGTTTTATCCCTAATATGAAACTTTCCGACGTATATCCAGATTTAATCACACTCTCATATGAATATCGGACATTGAATATGAATTAAAAAACAAGAACAATTGAGCCAACAAGAGTTATGATGGAGTGATAAGTATTTCTTTATCCTAAACTAGAAGTCTTGGATTTAAGTTTTCATGTGTACGAAGTCACCTTTATTAAGAAACATTTTACCCCAATATGAATATCGGACAAGAAACAAGAACAATTCAATGCTATAGTCCTGTCAACAATGTGTAGCCAAATTTTATTCTGGACGCGTCAATTCTTATCCTTTATTAGTTATAATTATTATAATATAATGTAATATAAATAAATATATTTCATTAATACACCTTTATAATTACTAACGTGTACCGTACATTATTATATAATTCTTATCCGGTGGGCTATTGAATAAGTCCAAAGTCTAAACCAAGACTTAATTTGTCATATTTAAATACTTTTCCTACAAGAACTTTTTAAAATATAAGCACCACAAATATAACTCATCATAATATCTCAAAACAGAGCAAAAACAGAGCAAAACAGAGCAAAAATGAAGAACAAAGGGAGTCATGGTCAAAACAGATTTATTCGAATTCTCGCATTACCATGGAAGGCATTAATAAAAGCGCGAGATTGTTACGTAGGTACAATGACGAATTACGCAGTTGTAAATCCTCGGAGTTTGCCTAAGAGTTACAGTGTAACATCATCTACGAGGTCTGATAACAGCGAAGATTTTAGAGAACTTGTTAGAGCAGCGTCCGCGAGGAGTATGGGAGAGAATTTTGAGCTGAATTTATTGATACAGCAACAAATTCGACAGCAATTGCAACAACAAATGCCGTCAAGGAGATCAGTACCGAGGAGTGTTAGTGTTGGTATGGGAAGAATTGATGAAGACAAGCCATTTGTTTTAGGAGGTCAAGAAGAAGATGTTTCGATTATGTTAATGAAAAATGATTTGAAGTATCCTAGGAGTAGAAGTCATGCTGTTTCAAAGACTAGTAATGTTCATGTCTTTTGATCGCAATTTATGTAGTATAGTTGGAATTTCGAGAGTGAATCAAGTGTTTCATTGATCCAAATTTATCTTTTGAATATTTTAAGTTGTTGATTATTTTATTTGGAAAAACTTAGAGTTTCAATATCTGAATTTATGAAAAATTTAGATCTCGAAATAGTAATTGTGCAATGTATTTTTTTTTCCGAAGATAGGTATGAAAATGGAAGTACTGGTGTTTGTTTAATAGGAATGTGTTGATTGTTAATTAAGGTATCAATTTTCACACTTTATGAAATCAACATAAAAGGTGTAATTGGTCTCTTTATATGATCTTTGAAATTAGCTTTCGAGGCTGAATTAGGTCGATACTGAGGAATATTGATGAGTCACACATCGACGATGGAGGTGTAATTTGGTATCTTTATATAGTCTAGAACAATTTTCGCCATATGAATTAACTTTTCGAACTAAGGGTTGAATAGAGATGGGCAAAACTATGGCAAATAGGGAGGCTTTAGGGAGCCCATTTTTTGGACAAATCATCACGTGTACCTTGCTACACCATATATACATATAGTACAATCAAATGATATATAGTATAGGGACTGTGTTCCCCAACTACTTTATCAATTTTATTTATATAGATATGATATGATATGATGACTTAATATAACTTTAAGAAAAAAATTATAGTATAGTATGTTGGATGAAAAATATGGCAAAAATACAACTATGCTATTATTTGTTTTTACTTCTTGTTGTAGCAGAGCATGCAGCAGCTGGTTCACAAGTGAAGTTTCTTCCAGGTTTTCAAGGACCACTTCCTTTTCAACTCGAAACTGGGTGAGAAATTGGCCACAGATAAATATTATAAACTGTTTGGACATTGAATTGTTACAATTTTCCGAAAATGTAATAGACTGGTGTTTTTAGGTATGTTGGAGTTGGTGATTCAGAAGATGTGCAATTATTCTATTATTTTACAGAGTCGGAGACTGATCCAGACTCCGACCCTCTTATGCTTTGGATCACTGGAGGCCCTGGTTGCTCTGCTTTATCTGGCCTTCTCTATGAGATAGGTATGTCATATTAATGCGCTCAAGTCACTTATAAGGTAATTACAAATAAACGTTTATTAAGTATTAACCTAGCAAGTAAAAATTGTTACACTTTGTTAACCTTTTGAACTATGAATATGAAGGACCAATAACATTTGAAGCAGTAGAATACAATGGGAGTTTTCCTAAAATGATACTAAATCCCTACTCATGGACAAAGGTGAAAGTATTTGATTATGAAATTGTACTTTGTAATGTAGCACAAAATTCAAAAATGTTAAAAAGTATCATGGAAATTTTAGGTGTCAAGTATTATTTTCTTAGACTTACCGGTGGGAACTGGATTTTCCTACGCGACAACTCCAGCAGCTCGACAATCATCTGATTTACAAGCGAGTGATCATGCATATCAGTTCCTTCGCAAGGTAATTATTAGAACTTCAGAAGAAAATAACGTAACTACGTACCCTGCTAATATGATTTTTGCAGTGGTTTGTCGATCATCCAGAATTCTTAAAGAATCCATTTTATGTTGGTGGAGATTCATATTCAGGCATTGTTGTTCCCATCATTACTCAAATCATAGCAATTAGTAAGACTCCAACAATTGCAAATTATGCTTTCATGTTTTAGTACTATGCTCTCATAGTTTGTTGGCCTTGTGATAATGTAGAGAATGAAATGGAAGTTGAACCATTTATTAATCTTAAGGTTTGTCCATTTTCTTACCAACTCATAACACAAATGGTTAAAGATACACAAAATGGATGACGCTATTATATGATTTCAGGGATATTTACTCGGAAATCCATGGACTTTTGAAGGTGAAGACAATTATAGAATTCCATTTGCTTATGGAATGGGACTTATTTCTGAAGAACTCTATGAGGTTGGCTTTTCTTTAGTTATGTGTTTTCATTAACTTTACTTAAAAGTAATTGGCTTATTTTTCTCAAACAGTCCTTTAAGTCCAATTGTAAAGGAGAGTACCTCAATATAAATCCAAGCAATAAACTGTGTTTGCAAGATGTTCAAACTTTTATTGAGGTTGGTGATTGATCTATTTTAAATAAAACATTAAATATCACCTGACTTGGTATTAAAATACTGACCTTAAATGCAGCTTCTTCAAGGAATTGATGTTGTCAATATTTTGGAGCCCAATTGTGGGTTTACTTCACCAAGGCCACACTTACTGTTTGGCCAAAGAAGATCTCTTGATGAAAAGTTTCATCAACTTAAATGTCGCGTGAGTATTTATCGTTCCATCCACAATTATTATTTTTAGACAATTGATTTTTGTATGATCTGTTATATCGCTTACAAGAATTTACCACTTGCAATTGCTTTAGAATGATTTGTACAAATTTTCTTATCAATGGACTGATGATGGTCAAGTTAGAGACGCCCTCAACATCCGGAAGGTATTACACAAAACTAAAGAGGAAATGATCAAAATGGTCCTTCATGTATATGAGTTGCTTTATTTTGGTCCTTAATATATTCTAGGCGATTGAAATAGTCTTTCATGTATGACAAAATATATTCAATTTGATCCTTTACCCAAAACTTAACAAATTTGTCCCAAAAAATGTTAAATATAACGGTGGACCCCACATAATTTACAAATCCACTATTTTTCTCTTCTTAATTTATTACTTCAAAATCTAATACTATTTTATCAAGAACAAATGCAATACCAGCCATATTAGCATTTACAATCACAAGACAGAACCAGCACAACATAGCATAACTTCACACAAAGAAGAACCCAAACTCATACACTGAATCTTGTCCCGTTCATCAATCGCAGAGCCACATCAGGAATGAATACACAAGTTACATAGCTACTTCAGTCAGAAATACCAAAAAATAAAATCTAGTAGAACCCACTTATCAACAACCAAACAAGGACAATACCAAAAATTCACAGCAATAGCCCCAATAACATGAAATTCAAGAACCCCAATACACAAAGTAAAACTTGTTCTAGCTTACCCACCAAAAAATCTCCACCATCCCACATGTTGACCTTTCTGGAGATTAATCACTCCAGACAATTTTTTTTAAAATAAACAATAAACAAAAGAGGATTATAACCAAAGGAAAGAGATATCAATAGATTAACAAAAGCAATTATGTATATAGAAAGTACCAAGAACAACGTAAATGCAAATATTATACCATTCAATTCCTAGATTATACAATTAACTTAATTTTCTATCTTGGTTACGTTCTACCGACAAATGAAATTCTTGATGATCCATTTCATTCAACCTTTTTACAATAATTATGTGGTTAGATATTAGAGAAAATGGTGTTAGAATTCGTGAAACTCTTTCTTTGAGCTAATAAAGATAGTAAAAATGGTGGATTTTGTAAGTTATGTGGCCCCACAGTTATATTTAATAGTTTTTGGGGATAAATTGTTAAGTTTAGGGTAAAAGACTAAATTGAACACATTTTGTTATACATGAAAGACTATTTCAATCACCTAAAATATATTAAGGATCAAAATAAAGTAACCTCAATACATCAAGAACCATTTTGATCATTTTCTCCAAAACTAAATGAGTTTAAGTTATTTTCTTATTGTCAATGCATAGAACTTAAACCCAGACTAACAACATATTCATTCGGTAACAGGGGAGTATCGGAAAATGGGAGAGATGTGCAAGTAATTTGCAATACAATAGGATGGTCATGAGTAGCATACCATATCATAAAAACCTCAGTAGTAAAGGTTACAGATCTCTTATATACAGGTTCACGATAAATATTACTAATTGTGTTTATATACAACATTAGAATAATTAACTACAAATACAAATAATTAAAGTTTATCTCTGTGAAACTAACAAGTTCTCTAATGTTCAATTGAATTGAGCAGTGGAGATCATGACATTGTTGTTACTTTCCGATCAACTCAAGCATGGATAAAATCTCTTAACTACTCAATTGTCGATGATTGGCGAGCTTGGACTGTTGACAATCAAGTTGCCGGGTTAGTTTTTGATGAAAGATGTACATTGAAATTCGCGTGCCTACATTAGTTAGAAAATTTGTCAAGTGTATAGATGTTAAACTCTTTTTTTTTTTTTTATCGTACGATTTCAGTTACACAAGAAGTTACTCAAATCAGATGACATTTGCCACAGTGAAGGCAAGGAAACTATTCTCCCAATCTATTTTTTTCAACTTTCTTTTCTTATTTTAAAAAAAATTGTGTTAAAATTGGTTTGTTAATTTTATTATTTAACAGGGAGCAGGGCATACTGCACCAGAGTATAAGCCTCGTGAATGTCTGGCCATGCTCACAAAGTGGATGTCTTACCAGCCTTTGTAATCAACAAATGTATTACAATTTTACGTTATCAATCTCAAGTCCGAACAAATAAAGAGGGTTGTTAAGAGTCAATAGAAAACAATTTTCTCTGCTGCATAAAAGTAAAGATAAGGTTGCGTAGATCTTGTCCTCCCCAATCACCTCCAAATGTTTGATAGAGTCAATTGTATTGAATTCAAATTGATACATCCTGTGTTATGTGTACGCAATACTATTTTGCCAAATGAATTTAAGTTTAATTTATCGTCAGTGTATATATTATCAATGCAATTTAATCAATTATGATAGATTAATACTATATTTTTTAGATTATCATATCAATCTTGTAATGAAAATTTATTTATTTTAGTACTACTTAATATGATAGTCAATATAAAAAAGGTAAACAACACAAATCTTACCAATGTAGGGTCTAATTATGTGCATTTTCATGAGTTCTCAAAATTAGTATTTGTGCCAAAAATATATACTCAGCAAAATTCTAGAAAGTTCTACTAAATATTTAAGATATTTTTTGTACCTCCAAAAATCAATATTAATTTTTCACACATATCATATCATTTCATATATAATTAAAAGTGATGTAAGCTAGTCAAGGAACCCGAAATTTTTTACAA